TTGAGTTTACTTTGGTTACAGTTATATTAAGTTGGTTTAATTGAGTTTACTTTGGTTACAGTTATATTAAGTTGGTTTAGTTGAGTTTAAATTTGGGTTAGTTTGGATTAGTAGTCTGGTTTATTGTCCCTGCTTTGGTTCGTTAACCCAGTTAGTTACAGACCCAGAATAAGTGTTTAACCCAACAGTTTCCTAAACCTGAGCGAGCATTTTGAACACTGACTGACACGCAAACATCTGACCTGACTTTCTTTACGTGTCCTTAAGAAGACATTCATGAAGCCGGGTCTGGATATCCGTTTGGACTCATTTGTTTGAAGTGACTCACAGAAAAACTGAATAAAAGCTGAATGGATCTGTTGTGATGAACACCTGAGGAACACTTGAGTGCGTTTGATGTCAGATTTCAAAGGAAATAGCACGAGGCGTTTGACAAATTAGTCACGGGAAAGGTGTTGCTGCTGTCACAGGACTTAATTGAGCCACCAGGAGATGAAAAGAATTTGAAGGGAGCCTCAGATTTTAGGCGGTTCATGACTAATTATCCCAGATTTTTCTTCCTGGCAATGAAAGGAGAAATTGTCGTCATATTTTGAGGAGAATCTCTGACAGTCACGGCCCTGAAGACACGATCATTTTAAGGGTTCTTTGTAGTGAATTGTACCTGCGATCTATCAGAGATACCTCATCACATGGCGCTGCTTTCTAAGAACTGAATGTGACGAGCTTCAGGTTACATCAGGTAAAATAATGGCAGTGAGCAGTGGAGCCTGTCCCAGCATTCATAGCTGTGAGCGGCGGCGCACACCTGGACAGGTTACCCATGTGCCGCAGGGTGAACACAGAGACAGACGGCCAGTCACACCCTGTTAGCTGCATTTCATTACAAAATAAAATCCACGAGGAAGAAACACTTTGACTCTTCCTTCTGTTTGGTCTTATTATCCTCGCCCAGCTTTTCCTCCTTTCTGAATAACTGCACTGTAATTATACACTTTGTTTCCCCAACCTATGCTATTTAAAACATCCTCAGCTGTCTCTGGATGACTTGAGTAAGGATGTCTCAAACTGCTGCAGCAGTTTGTTCAATAATCCTCTGACCTGAAATTAAATGCAGTGTTTCATTTGACAGAAACTCGGTTTTATTTTGGCACTAACAGCACATCTCACACAGACGGAGGCAGTTTTATTGACAGCCGGCTGTAACACTGATAAATATGTTAAGCCAACTGCAGGCGACTACTGTTGTGGTCCAAAGACAGGAATAGACTCGAGCTGCAGGAGAAATATCAGCTAAACTCTGCGAAGAAGCCTCATCGCCAGCCGTCTTTATCCAGATGTTCAATCCTGTTGTCACTTTTACAGCTGCTGATCTCTATGAACATGCCGGGTCAGAGATGAAGATCTGGACCAGCTGACTAACAGCAGGCCAAGAAAACTAGCATTGGATTAACGGGGAAGAGTACAGTCCAAGATCCAAGACCCAACCAGGCAACCCACATCATCACTGAAAGATCAGAGTCATAGTCGGAGTACCAAGGCAAGAAAAACATGACCAAAGAGCCGAGACCAAAGCTCAAGATCTCCACTTTATTTATGCAGCACCAAACTACAACAACGGTCACCCCAAGGTGCTTTATATTAGACGTAAGTACAATAATATAGATGAAACCCAACAATTATATGACCCCGAGCACTTTGGTGACAGTGAGAAGGAAAAACTTTGTTTTAACAGGAAGAGAGACGGGTGCAGTGAAAATCAGCAGGGCTGAGCGGACGTAGACCAGGATACAAGTCAGGACACATCAAACATGTGAGCAGAATATCCCAAATTAAACACAGCAAACAAACCAAAGTCAAGACCAGAGTGAGTTAAATATCAAGTTCAAACCAGGCTGGACTTTAAGTGTTGCCGGACGAGTCTGATCAAAAGAAGACACGAAAACCTGTCGATGTCACTGAAAGCAGAGATACTCCTCAGAGTGACATGAGTGAGCTGACAGAGTGACAGAAAGTCGTGGAAGTCTTTCCACAGGTGTCTGTCTCCACAGGAATGACGAGGCCAAGTCTCAGCCCAGTGCTGCGAATCAAACGCACCCGATTGGCTGCTCATCACCAGTGTGAGCACATCTGTAGAGCTGAGGTTTCTGATGTTTGCAGGTCTAGAGCGTTCAGGTGTGTTAACAGCGACACAGTCGTCCCAGGAGTGGACGTCCCAGCAAATTCAGCCTGAGTAAAAACCCAGGAGCTCCATCTCAGACTCCACAGGCCCCAGTCAAAGGTTAAAGGTTAAACGTAGCAGCACAGTTAGAAACAGACTGAGCTGAAAGTCTGTCCATGAAGCACAAAACCAAACTCATAAGACCTCAGAGCAGCTGTGAGCGCGGCGCTGGAGGGATGATGGTTTGGGTACCTCGGGGTCACTGAGTGGACCGTGAGCTCCTTCATCAACAGCAGAGTGTTGGACCTCAGCGACACAAACAGAAACACCTGTGTGGACGGACACCTGCTGCGTTCATCAGCCCGGCTGTGCTCGAGGGAGTTAAAGCTGCAGAAAAGGATCAGCGCAGCTGTTTAAGCTCAGAGCTAACAGTCAGGAGGCGAGCGTGTTCGATCCCCGTGTTAAAGGAAACCCTTTTCTTCTATTTGACACATGGTAGTCCTGACAGCAGCTCCACGCCGCTGCGGCAGCTGACAGCAGGTGTTTAATGAGGAGTGTGTGTGTCTGACACATGAAAAAGAGGGAAAGAGGGAGGGTTCATAGAAAGCACAAAGAAAAGGTGTCGCAGCAGGACGCCGACACACATGGGCCGATGAAAACAGGAAGTTTAACGACCACAGTCCTGTAAGGAGGTGTGGACATAACGGGGGGGAAATCACACGACCAGAACGGCCCGAGAGTGAAAAGTTAGCTCGCTAACAACACACACACACAGCCTGCAGGTTGCATGAACAGCAGGGGGAAGTCAAACAGCTTCTTGGGTCTCGAGCCAGAATATTTAATCAGCGAGCCCCTGAGGGGAGACCTCCACCTGCTGCAACAGCGAGACAGGTGAGACGCCTGAACGCAGCTCAGACTGCAGAGCGAGGCCTCAGCAGCGTTAGCAATGAGAACAAACCGCAGTCAGAACGGCTCACATCAGCCCCAATGTGTTTGCTTTAGAGCAGCTTTGCTCTCAGATTAAACAGATCTTTGAGTCAGGCTCACGTTTGTGCAACTCGAGGCTCGAGGAGAAATACTGAGCTACAGATGAGCTAAACGAGTCCAAGAAAACAGTTCAGAGATCTGCTGTAAATAAGCAAAGGCTCTGCCATCACGTTTACATCTCTGTACACGCCAGAAACCACGTCAGATTGTGCATCAGGCTGGAAACGTGTTTATTTCTGCTGCAACGTTTAACATAGGAGTCTGCTGGAGCCCCTAGTGGCCGTCAGATGAACTGCAGGCGTCGGCTTCTTTTCAAACATTGTTTTATCTGCAGGCTGAATAAAAACCACATAGATAAATGCAAAGTCCCTCTGAATTCAACATGCACTGTTATTATTTTTAGAAATTGACGCTGATGACGTCAGCATCCTGTTCTATTTAAAATATCTTTATTTACTGTGCAGATTAAAACGCCTGATGACATTTCATAATAAAACCTTCTAGACTTTATGTTCCAAAGCCTGAACACAAAGTCAGTTAGTCATCTTGCTCCTGAGTGAGAGAGCTGAATCCTCACGCTTTGACCTTTCAGAGTAATTTTCGTGGTCAAATGTGGCGCCAACAGCCCTCCAGACCCGAGGAGTGCAGATCGCCGCCGCAGGCTCGAGTGGACGCTGAGTGACCGCACAGGTCGAGGTAAACAGTGTCAGAGGTATTACACGATGATTCACTTTAACATTTACCTGTGAATATGATACAAAAACACTTTTTATGGGACTTTCAGCCGTTTCAGCTGCAGCACACGTATGACTCATGCCTTGAAGTGCTGATTATAAGAAATGCTTAAGATTGCTTATTCAAGGTAAAGTCTTTTAACTAAAGGCCATGATGAAGCAGAAAAGCTTTCTCAGAGTTTCTTCTATGTGGAGCATAAAGCAGCGAGTGCTGCCACTGCTCGAACACTCTGGGGACGCTAAACAACACCAATAAATATGCAACTCCAAACCAGCTCCACCCTCAGGAGAGCCGACTCGATTTAACCAGGAAAAATGCACAACAGGCAAAATAAAAGTACGCAAGTCACTGCTTCTACCGCCAGTGTCATCCTCCATGTTTTTCTGCTTTATTTACTCCACAAAGACTAAAATTCAAAATCGTACATTTGTATTTCCTTCTATTACTGGCTTATATGGAAGGCCACGCATAAAATTATTAAAATAGATTAATTAATAAATCAATATGCCATGAAATGCATTATTATTGCTTTTGGTTGTATTACACTATATCCCCTCTATTTATGTACTCTGTGTGTAATCCATTACTTTGTTTATTAGATATCCATCTCACGGGAACCAGCAGCCCTCTCTCTCTGTCAGCCACCTCATTCATTTCTTGTTTTACTTTGATAGCTGGTCGTCTCTGTTTTTGAGTTTCACTTCCTCCTCGTTGTCTTGATTGTGTTCAGCTGTTTCTCGTTGCCCTCCTGTGTTCGTCCCTGTCTTTGCCTGCCCGTGCTGGTTCTGGTCACCGTGTTACTCCCTGTGCACTCTTGGATCTTACAGCCGGGTCTTTGACATTAAAAG